GGTAACGAGGTGCCGAACACGAAACGAATGAGAGTCCGCACGGGTAACTACGTAGGGACCGATCCAGGTGATTAGCAACTTGTTGTGTCGTCGCTCATCGACACGTGATCGTAGGACGTAATCACCCGCAGAAAAGTTAACTTCTTGTGCACCTCTGGATTTTCTCTTGTTCCGTAACGTGATCTTCTCACGCTTGTCCTTGACGGCACAGTGCATGTCCTCAATACTGGACCGTAGTTTCGCCAGAGAATTCTCGATGTCTGCACTCGAAATATAGACTGCCTTAGGTTGCTCTTCAGGGACATGCAGGATGTAGGCTGGCGCTGGGCATGGCAAGCCAGTGAATATCTCAACAGGGGCCTTGTTAGCTAGAGAAGCCACCGGAGAGTGATTCATGTTAGCTTGCACCAAAGGTATAAGATAGATCCAGTCGTTGTGCGAAATCTTGTACTCCATAATCATTGCACGTAGCAGTTGCAGTATATCTCTGTTTGCACGTTCCACAGATCCATTGATCCACGGACTATACGCCACTACGAACTGCTGTTCACATTTCAGTCGCTTGCATAATTCGGCAAGAACTTGGTTCTTGAAATGCAAGCCACTGTCACTGACCCATTCAGGCGGTACACCGAACCGACTGTGCCACCCAAGCAGGCCATCAACTGCAAACTTCACTTGTTGGTGTATCACACGCAAATCAACTCGCAGAAATGGGTAAAGTTGTCCTTCAGCAGTAGTAGGTACTTGCATGAGCCAAATCCATCACCCAAATAAAGGAAATCCCAGTGTAAAGCTCCATTGCGAATGTCAGAGCGGTACAGTTCACCCCATGGTCTAGGCACCACCCTACCTCCTTTTACATGCTGACAGAGCAAACAGGAGCGCAGGAAACGACGAACTAGAGCAGAGATTCCCTCAATCGAAAATACACGGCGAATGTGGTTCAATACCACGGCTTCACCACGGTGACCCTGTGCCCCACAATGAGCGATGATCAGGAGTCGCTGGATGAGAGCCGTGGCAGCAGTAGGTATCCAAATACAGCCATCAAGTCGGTAGACACCATGTCCACCTGCAGCACTAGCAGTAGGAGCAGAAGCTACATGAGCCGCTTGCGTAGCCGCGATTTCACTTAACGTCGGCCACGTGAAGTTCTCTTGGTCAAGAGGCCGAAGCAGAGGCTTCCGAGAAACATTTGTCTGTGAACGGGTCACTCGCTTCAAGCTAGGCTTCGTAGTCGTAGATGCCGTAGGGGTAGCAGCGCCGCCCCACCGACTAAGCATATCCGCCCACAAGTTGTAGACACCCTCGATGTGAACGATAGTATAGCGAAACTCCATGCGTTTGACAGCCCATCGAAGTAATTTTCTACGTACGTGCTTCTTTACTTCTTGTCCAGGGGCAAAAACATGGATGAGGTTTCGGTGGTCACAAAACACCTTGAAACCACCGGGCCTCAGCAACAGGTAGTCAAGGTCTTCACAGGAGAGCACGATTGGTAGTGCCTCTTTCTCAATGACTCTCCAGTGGAGCTAAGCGCCAGTGAACGAACCGCTCTTGCATACCAGTAGCTCATGTTCCTGTTCAGTAATTGCCACTCCTTGTTTCCATTCACCCACTTGAGTAAGGACCGAAGCCCAACCGTAGTCACTAGCATCTGTAAACAAGCAGTAGGTTGCCTGCTCACGCGGGTGCGTCATCATGGCCGAGCTCTGCAGGAGCTTCTTGACCAGTTCGAAACTGCGGAGCTCATCATCATCCAACGCGATGCTGATCCCTGAAGCAGCACGCTTCGTCTTTCGTTTACCAGCAAGTGCGCGATCCAACAGCGATTGCAACGGCCGAACGGTGCGAGCGTAGTCAACCAAACTGTCTCGCATCCAGTTCGTTGCGCAGATAAACTGCTGTAATTGTCCTGCTGTGACTGGCACTGGCATTGAAGTGAGCCCATCAATCCGTTTTGGGTCATGGCGAACACCATTCTCATCAATCACCTTTCCACACCACGTAACTGAGCGTTGGTACAACGAGGACTTCTTCAGACTCAACTTCAATCCGAATTCGTTCACCAAGTCAAACAGTCTCTCTAGAGCAACAAGGTAACTCTCTACAGTGTCAGAGTAGAACAAGAGATCGTCAATCCAAATAAGTAAATTGTGGTCGAGTAGCTCAACGAAACAGCTCTCCATCGAGACTTGAAAATGTAACGCCGAGTCACAACTTCCTTGCAGCACACGGGTTGGCGTGAACACGCCCTCATCCGTCATATACGAGAGCTGCTCTCTCCATTCTATCGCCACAGCAAGTCGCCAAAAGCTGCGGATAAAGTCGAAAAGACCGTAGTGTTTCTTTCCTTTCAATCGCTCCAACTTTGTCTTCAAGTTTGGCATAACGCCTGCAATTGCTTCGGTCATCGCATTCAATGGCTTGTAATCCACCGCTTGGCGAAACTCATTGACCTTCGGCTCCTTATGAGGCAGAGCAGCGCAAGCCCAATGACTGCTAGGGTTTTTGTAGACCCAGCCAAGGTCCACTAGGGTCTGGTTGAACTCCTTCAGGAACGCACTCTGTAAGGGTCTGTACTGCCGAGCTTTGCAGCGGAAAGGCTTTGCATCCTGCTTCAAGTGAAGCTTGTACGGTGGCACCTTAGCAGGAGGGTCGTCACAGAGAACTAGCCGCCAAATGTCGTGCTTCTTAGCAATTCGACGCAATTCCTTCATGAATTTCATTGGAAAATCGTTATCCAGTGCAGCAGTGAGCAGTTTTTCAAGGCCTCCCTGGATGTCAAAGTCATTTGCATGACCAGGCCGAAATTCATCATCACTCGCAATGGGATCCTCATCGTCATTGAGTTTACCACCAGCAAGTTGCTCGAGTTGTCTGTCCACATTGATTCCAAGAGAGAGCAGCACATCGTTGCCGACGATAAATTCATCATCGTTTTGCTCAATATTGAGACAATTGACGGGTTCTGCGAGCTCCACAGGTCCAGCAGCAGAATTGCCAGCAGTACAGACACACGCGCTTCAACATCGTGACCGCCAACTTCTTTCCCAATCACTGGTGTGCTCAACGGGACAGACTTCACGTTGTCGTCGAGCCGCATGAGCTCGTTGAAGTTGTTCCGACTCAACAGGCACCTGTCCGAGCCTGTATCCGCACAGTACTGCAGGTCATACACGTCGTTCAGCGTGATGGTGTTCACTCCACCCAGACGCTTCTTAATCCGCTTCATCCTGCTCTTGTCATGGCGAGAGGTATGAAACTTCTTCGGTAATTCCTTCTTCTCCTCTGGAGACGCAGTTGGGCAATTCGGCACATAGTGTGGCCCACTGCATTTAAGACATCCGTCTTTTGGTACGAGAGGTCGCTTCTTCTCTGAGTCCTGGTTTAATACAGATCGTGTCGCTCGATTGACATCCCCGCCCTTAGATTCATGTGTGTCACGCTGGCGACGGCCATGCTGGTCAC